CATGTAACAATCATCATTTCATCAATCATCAATCTAGAAACGGCCCAGAACCCGAGAAATGGGACCCCTTCCTTGCCCGTTGATTTGAGCATTGATGCGACTCTCATCGCTGTGCCCTCTTCAACACTACGCTCTCTCAGCTATCTAATCACTCGCCACGTATTGAACTACGGCGAGTGATCAGATGATCGGTGGGCGGAGATCGCCGGACCCGCCAGCTTTGAGGCATGATAGGTCGCCGAGGTCAAATTTTTCCATGCGAATTGCGCGTCAGTTCGCACCCTCAGGAGGTCCGTGGGTCCCTCAACTAGGTCAGTTTCCCTTTCTTCGACCTTCATTCTAATCGTGAATTCCTCCTTTAAAGTTCTTGGGGCATATTTTGTAACATTGTTATCAAATCATTCAATCAGTCGCATTATTCCATTAATTTGCTACTTTTTCATAAAATCTCATAAATAAAAGCGGCCATTACGAAACTGAAAACTCGAAAATGGGAGCTGAAGGAGTCTATATTTTTTTGTTGTAGGGAAAAAGCGAAAACCTCAGAAAGTATCCCTCTACCGAGAAAACATGCATGTTTAGCTTCTTTTTTTTTTAGCAAGAATCAATGTTCGTCAACTTTTTGGCAACTATATTACATATTTCAGGGTGCTTTTCCACCTTTTTGTTTGTTTAACTTTCCCTGCGGCTTCAGTCTGCTCAGCTTCAGCGCGTGTACTTCATGAATTACAATAACGAAAAATTGAAATGATGAACGAATACATATGACAATTGACGAACATAAAGCATTTGCCGTTGATCAATCCCTTTTGGGATGCGGCACGCATTCTACTTCCATTTGTACATTCGTAGTGGCGTTTGAATGCGATGTGGCCTATACAATGACTTGCGGGGGCCAGCCGATGTACAAGTCAGTGTTTTTATCCTCCCAGACAAGTCTGGTACCAATTAACCGACCCCGGAGGGATGGAAGGCTTGGTTGGCCCGGGCGACTCACGACCCAGGATTTGATCCCCGGACCGCTCGCGTGGTAAGCGCGCCACTTGCCACTACACCACTTCCGCCCTTTATGAATTACAATAGTATTTTCAATTTTGCAGAAGCCATTGTACGTCCATGGATATGGATGAAACCCGGAGTTTTCAGGTCTGACATTCAGCAGCCTAACACCGGAAGGAAAAGTGGTGATAACTCAGGAGAAATCTCGACATCGTACAGCGTTGCTTGCCCATCTTAATGCTATGAAAGAGACGTTCGATGAGAAACTCAATTATATTATTCAAATTGAACACATCATGACCAGCATAGAGGTAAGCTGATTCATTTGGCTCATGCAGCATTTGACCAGTAGTCCGTTGGTGATGCGTTGTGCCGACTGGACCTTTATCTTCGAAGTGCCATATACAGTTCAACTGAATATTATTTAGTTATTATATTCATAATGGTCACATATGTCAGATTATGAAGAGTCTGACCCTGAAGAAAATTATAGTAGAGTTGAACTCCTTCAAATTGACCAACAACAAGGAAGATATGCTCTGCTTCCAAAAACGAGGAGCGCATCGAGTGCAGACCACACACCACAAGTGACGACGCCTCCGAAGTAAATCTGGTTCTAGTGGTTCATAGTGATAGCTGAATAGGTAAATGGTATCTAAATTAGTTAGAGAATACAGCTGTAACCGGCTGACTGTTTCATTAGCAAAAATCTTTGACATTCTTTGGGACCGTCGTTACTTCTCTTGTGTGGTCTGCACTGAGCATCTGGTATTCGAAAACAGAAGGTATGCTCATTAAAGGAACGGCGGCGCTGCTCACCGCGTGCACGGCACAAGGATCGAATTCCGGATCGTTCATCATCCAGCCAACCAAGCCTCTCATCCCTCTGAGGGTGGTTGATCGGTACTAGATAGTGGTAGGGACGGAAAGATCAGCTGGCCCCGAAGCTCTTTATTTAGGTCGCACTCAAAAATGCCCTTGCGATTTGGAATTTGACTAGGATGCGTGGCGTATTCCAAAAGCAATTGAACAACGTCGATTTTTTTTCCCTTCGAATGACTTACTGCTGGAAAAAACGTTGGAAAGCGGTCGGACCACATCAACCAGTGTGCTGATCGAACGTGATCCATAGTTGGGTTGTAAGGGAGGTACATAGAGGACTTGCTCGAGTGAAAAGGTTATTGTTTTCATCATTATCTGTCACCTACCTGTACCAAGATGCAATCCAATAGTAGTCGAAGATTTTGGATGGAAGTCGAATGCATGGCGTATCTTTGTGGGATGCGAAGCAAATCACTTTTTACGAGAACGCCGGATTATGGACAAAACTCCTCGTACCAGACGGGAATCGAACCCGCAACTCTCTTCACTTTAGCCCAGCTTTTGATGGAATAACAAAAAAAATTCAAACTCTTTTGTCCATAGTTCAGATTTGGGGTCTTCTGAATATGAAGATTTCAGGCAATCTCCAACTTTATGGACAAAGAGATTCAATTTCTCAATGTGTTTGGAATTCTCGACATGAATCGATCTCTAATCACAGAATGCCATGTGAATAAGTATAGATTTCATTTAACGCCTTATGTGCAATAATTTGTGAAACAACTCGTGCTCTGTTATGTATAACGCAAAATATAAAACAGTAAACAGCTTTTAAGGCATTCTTGATGTTTTGGTGTACGATCGTTCCTTGGTACTATTAAAAAGCAGTGGGCAAGCAACGGCATCATTTCTACTTTGCTTCAATGAATAACCTCCAAGTGCACGAGTTTTCCCGGGCGTACGCGGCCGCACGCTTTTTTGCTAGCCTGCGTTTTCCGTGTTTTCGAAACCCAGCCGTGCGAAAGTACGCGGTAGGGGAGCTACGCCTTGTCCTTCTGCTAGAAGATTCTACGATAAGGTTGATGGAGAAGGAGGAAGTTACCTGAAGAAAAACAGGCGGACCTCTGAGGGTGCGGACCGATTCGCAGCCAAGAATGTGCCCCGTCGATCTAGCATGGCCGTCCCCGCGATTGGCGCGACACGCCCACCGACTAGCTAACCACTCGCCGCAGGTCTCTAGCCGTTAGCAGAGAGAGCGTTAGCGTTGAAGAGGGCAGCACCGATGAGAGTCGCATCAATGCGGAAATCAACGGGCAAGGAAGGGGTCCCATTTCTCGGGTTCTGGGCCGTTTCTCATGGTTTTTCTTCATTCCGCACCACTGACCACCTCTACCTATTTTAATGGCTGCCTTCTAGTCGTAAACTCCACTTTTGAGCAGGCTGAGATGTCACAAATCAACGGGCTAAGGCGAGTTTCTGTGTTTTGTTTCCGCTACGCTCTCTCGCCTATTTCCTCTACTCGACGCACAGTGTCTCTTCGTCGTGATATTACCCACATAACGAAAAATGTCTTCGAATTCAATCTTTGATTTCCTTTACCTGCAGTCGTTCCTACTCTTTCACTTTGATTTTCAAAAACAATTTTTCACCGTGAAATGAAATTAAATTGCCCTGTGTCGGTCATGTGTTATGATTTGTCAGGGT